AAAAAATCTCCTTTTAAGGTGTTATTGATATTTCTTGCTGCCCAATTAGTTTAAGTCATGTTTTATATTATATATAATAATAACTTCACACTGGCCAGCTTGGAGAATGCACATTTAAAACAAAAGTCTTACAAGACAGTACTTAGATGAGGACGCTTCAAAAAGTTTATGGAAAATGGGTATTATGGAAAAAGGTATGGATTTCAAAATTCTTTTGCACCAAAATAAACGTGTCCTTTAATTTCATTTTTCTGAAAAATGTTCTGAGTTCTCCGTTTGTCTATAACATAGCTGACCATCTTTACAAGCGATGCTCATTTGGCCAGAAGTCAGGGATAGACAAGAACAGAAACCATATGGATGATTGTTAACTGAACCAAGATCTAACGGAAACAATGATAAGAAAATTAAATACACCTGATTAGTACCCAAGTACCTCATGGATTAACTTTAGATACAAGCTTTGTAAGACTGGCTTCCAGGAAAGAAACATCCAAATCAGTCTTACCTGTATAGCACTTCACTTCATGTGTTAGCTACTTAAATGTAGTACGCAGCAGTTCTCTTCAGGCCAAATGCAAAGTATCTGAACAGGATTATGTTTTCATTTTAATCATTACTATGTTTTCATCAAAGAAACTGACTTTACCCAAAATGAAAGTTACTACTTATAAAGTCAAACACAATTAAAAAATGAAACAATTCTTGCAGTCCTTAAATGCTACACAACATGAAGATAACTGGGGACTCCATCATTCTGCAAGAGATCACAACTTCAGCTTTTACAGGTTACATAGTCACCCCACTAAAATATCTAGGGGGAAAAAAAAGTTCCCTAGAAGTATCGAATATGTGTTCCACTAGGCAAAAATTTCACCCAAAGCTTTAGCTCACAAAATTTCCCAAATCAAGAGGTGGGTAACTCATTTTGCGGCTGGGGGCAGTCTCCCCGCTACGTTTTTCTCAAAGATGGCTGATGCAGACAGCACTTCATAACTACATAAAAATGGTTGCTCAGATTAAATTATGCAAACGTAGTTGCAAAATAACCTGCTCAAGTTTCAGCGCATTAAAGATGGACCTGCAAAGCATTTGCCATGTTACGCCTGGTTCCAGCGGAATTTCAGTGCGTACTAAGAGAAGCACAAACCCCAAACCGTTCTTATAAAGAAAGACTGAAATCTACGTGCACCAATATCAAAACCCATAGGCACATTTACCAGCCTTGGACCCGGCCCTGAACGCCGCCGATCCACCACCAACACAAAACAAGCGAGCACCCTCAGGCGCTTCTTGAGGTCTCCATCCTGGACAGCGAGCAGAAAGGGCCATCTTTGAAAAGCTCCGTCTTAACCTTTTAAAATAAAATATTCCAGAGGAAATTTTTAAAGTGCATGTGGGAGGGTGAATGTATTGAACAAAGTACTTCCATGAGGTAGTTATAACATACATACAAAATGCCACAAAATGGCATTTATTTTCAACTTGGCAACATTTCACCATGAGATACCCATCCACAAAGATTTTTCTGTGAGTGTAAAGTTCCTAGTTTTCTTCTATTTACCAGCAGATGATAGAGAAATGCAGGGTGATTACCAATATGAGTTTCAATAAACGTATTATGCAGCCTAATTTCAAGCCTCAAGACCCTGGCTCGGTGAGAAGCACATGGGATGTTTCCACAATAATAATTGGTCAAATGGAAATTTTTAGTGAGGAAACTCTAGATGTTAAAGTTTTTCTCTGTTGGTTTATATGCATGTGAAGGATAAATAAAAATTTTAAGAAATGTTGTTATATATAAACTGTCAATCATATTTCGAAACGAGTGGCCGAGATCGCTTGCAAATAAAAAGACTAACCATATGGAATATTTTCATTTTCCGAAGGCTCGAAACTATTAGTAGTTGAAGTTATATGAAATAGTAAAGTAAAAAGTTATCATAAATGGAGTTATAATATTCTACCAGTCAAAAAGAGGGAACCATTTTATTCTGAAATAGGATGCCAACGTACTTTGATGTCCAACTTGAATGTTCACTACTCTGTTCCGTAAGTCAGTCTTCGAAGCAAGCATTCATTGTTATTTACTGCCATTCACACCCCTCACTGGGTACTGCTCGTCATACGTGTCAGTGGGTTTACATAACTCAAAGCATCAATGCGGCAGCTCTGGAAAACCCTGCTGGGATCCGTACCACGGAGGATATGCACCGGGGCGCATTCATCTAGCTGTGTCCGTTTCGCGCTCATTCACTTTCCTATATTCCTTAAACTACTTTTCACGATTTCCTAACAAGCTGGGTCAACCCTTAGGAAAAATTAAGATTCTGCAAATGCACCAACACGCTAAGGCCTTAAAAGTTCAGCAAAATCTCCAAAGAATGAACAAAACCGGTTGACTTTTACGACCCCCACAGGGGCTGAAAGAGTTCCTTAGGGCCTCTGGACCACCCCAACTACTCGCAGCAGTGAGAAGGCCGGCTCTGAAAACGCGTGGCCCGAGTCGCAGGGTGCGCCCTTGCCACGAATGGAAAACGGCTACGCAGCTGACAACTCTTCGCGAGGCCTTCTTGAAGTGTCTACACTTTCAGGGCACAGCAAAAGAGTGTTTACACTGCCTCACGCCCTCGTCACCCCCTTGTCACTGGCCGACTTCAGGGACACCCAGTATGTGTGGTTTCGTTTATGGCGGCAGTTTGCTTACACACCCTCACGAGCGTGCACACACACTCACGCACGACCCTCTACACATTCCCGCGGCCTCCTGGGACCAGAAAGATGGAATACGGTCTCCCTCTTCTCCCCCAATCTGAGCTGTTTTAATTCAAAATACTCAAAGGCATCCCCGAAGAGGAGAGGAAGGGGAGAAGGAAGAGAAGGATTTCCCTCCGGGAACTCGGCTCCCCTCTCCCCAGCCCCACGAGCCCCCGGAGGGACACCGACGTTGCTCAGAGAGGGCAAGAAAACCTGGACGCCAGGGGCCCGAGCGCAGTCAGCGGGGACTGGCGACGAGGCCACAGAGGGGCGCCCGGGGCGTGTCCCCCGCGTCCTTCTCCCTCCTTACTTTTGGATGATCTGGGGCAGGCCGGCTTGGGGCGGCGGCGGCGGCATCCCTCTCGGGCCGGGGGGCGCAGGCCCGGGGCAGGCATCTCTGTCCGGCTGCTCCGCGCCGCTGGGGTCCACGTCCTGGCTCATGGCTGCTGCCAGGACCATGCGGGGCGACAGCGGCC